TCACTACGAGGCCGCGAGGCAGTAAACCAACCTCTCTGTTGGGGATTTTGTCTTTTAGCTACCCTAAGTTCATACGTGTACGTGTGTAATAGATAAAAGAATCTATCAAAGAAACTTTTCTCTGATTAGAAATTTGCTCTTTGTCTCATCACGCTCTTCAATCAAGCTCGATTAATTTTTTATTTGCTTGTTACGGCTCGACTCGATTAATTAGCCTATTCATAAAAAAATATGTTATCTATTATCCTAGAATGTGTGACAATCAACCTCGAATATTGTCACACAAGCTGTAATTGAAATTAAATCACTTATTTGTACGATAATGTATTCAAAAGCATTTTTTAAGTATCTAATGTATGTATATTGTAATGTATATACATATATATCTATTTTTTTCTAAACATTATTCAAAAACTGTGACAACCGACCTCAGTCTCCTTTATTATTTCGAATCAAATAATATATATGTATATATTATATGTAATATTATATGTATGTGTATACATTTATGTATGTATCTTGTATACTTTTTCTTTAATATTCTTTATCTAACAAAATTTGTTTGTACAATCAATAACTATTTAATAATATGCCACATAAAATCATATTCTAGAAACTTAAATATATAAAGAGTCAGTATACATTTTGAAAATACATTTGAAATATACTTTTATAGTTTTACCGAGAGTTTTACTTACTAATAGTAGGTTCAAGCTTCTCTATTAACGATTATTACTTCATAATATCTTGGCACGATCCCAACTTTTTAGTATATGTATAAAACAGACAGCGATTGCCATCTCTTTTGATTACATAGAGCTAAAATTTTGGTTGAAAAATATAATCTTTCTGTAAAAATTTTAGTTTATGAGTTATATCTTTCCTTTCGCATTAACAATTTTTTTTACCTTAAAGTCGGGTGACAGTAATTTTTTAAACTTTAATATTTTTTAATATAAGAAACTACGAACAAAATTATTATTACTATAAACAACTATAAATGAAATACTATCATTTTATGTGTGTATGAAAATTTTTAATTTATTAAAAGTCGGTTGCCAAGTTCACAAAGGTGGCGTGCAGTCATATTTTTTAGATAAATTTATTTAAGATATTTAACTTTAACTGTAAGTGACACTTCTTAAATTGAGATTATATATAAATACTTTCGTATTAAGAAGCATGAAATGTGCAATGTGAATACTGATAATGAAAATAAGCATAACGTTAAACTTCTGCTGAAAGAAGTCGTTATTGGGGTGAAAGGGGGAAAGGGATACTCGAAGATCACATCAAGCCTCTGACAAATATTCTCAACGCGGTTCTATATAAAACAGTTAATTTTTATCTATCAGGCATTTTCTGCTCTATGAAATCGATCCTTCCTCTGAGTGATATTTTAGACGATATTTTGACTATTGGGTCAAATCATCGTTTTCGTTTGCGAAGAGAAATATAACCGGCAACGTTTACCGCCGCAAGAAATTTCCATGCAAATGTTCCGTGATCAATATTCTCCACCAACACTGATCGCAGCACCTTTCTTTGCTCCGGCTTTCGCACGCACACCGTCGCTCGTTTCCCGTCACTTTTCCTGTTGTATGTTCGTTGAGCTGGTGTTTACCCCGGAGGAACAACGGGAGCGTTTTGCCTGGCGCGCGTAACGTACACAATGCAAATTTCCGAATCAACAATTTAAAGCCGTCTACTCGTTTAATTAAGGGTTTCGGAATTTCTTCAGCCGCTAGAAACCTCGATTTATTTCCCTCGCGGAGATAAATAGTACGACGAACTTGTTTCAAGCACACTCGATGATAACGATGTGTCTTGAATATTTTTCTCGGATCCTTCTCGGTTTTTATAATTACGTGCAAAACATACATAATTCTTCTCTTAATTTATATGCAGACAGTCTCAAGCCTTGTACTGAACTATTAGTATATACTATATAACAATTCCTCATGAAATGATATATATAAAATATAGAATAACATCTCTTTTATGTATTTCGTTTTTGAGAAACATAATTTTGAACATCCTTTCTTATATATATATTTGAATATATATATTTTCTAAAGATTTTAAAGAAATTTCTATTTTGTTATATAGTGTATTTAATGTGGGAATGAAATTTTGAATAAAAAGTTGTGAATTTTATCCTATATTATTTTTATTTATTTTTCGACGTGAGGAATTATCTCTTTTCCAAACGAATCATCAGTTTGAAAATATTATGTATATTCAGGACGATACGATGAGACAAGATAAATATATATTACGTGTCATTGATTTTTGTCGTTGCTATTATTATGCACCATTGAATTCTCATCCATTGTACGCATCGTGTTGTGTCTTACTACACCCAGTTTCACATAACTTAATTGTTGACTAGGCGCAGCATGTGCTTGACCAATATTTGCTTGATTGTCGTACGTAATCAGTATCTGGCCTTCGGAAATATTTCTTTAACTAAAAATAGTGTTTTTTTGTTACGTTTAATGTTATTTTAATACAATCTCTTTCATGATTGCGAAAAAATTTTTCAGTTACATTAAATACACTTTTTCATTTTTAACATTGCTACTTCCAACAAATTAACATTATAAGACACAGTTAAAACGACATTCCGTAACAATAAGAGAAGGGTTAGTTTGGACAAAAATCGTTATTTTATTTTATTTTTTTTTATAGAAAAGATGTAGATTAATTAAAAGATTAATGAAAGCATATTATTTTCTTACTCAATAGTTATATTTACCTTACCATTTATGTTGAATACTCGGACAGGGCGCCGATAGCGTTGGATACGTCTGTATATGTCGGATCGATTCGCAGAATTCCGTTGAATTTTGTAGAAAGGGGGATGAAGATAGCCGGTCGCGGTAAACGAGAAAACGAATATTTGGAGATGTAACACTCGCACTTAAATATAATCTCGCGAAATAGTCATCAATGAAATTTTCTCAGTGATTGTTAATAACTTTGTAAATTTGGATGATCAATCTATCCACTGGATTTTTAAGTGCAAGTAAATTTCTTTGCTTACAAGAAAAAACCGAATTTTTATTGCCATTACGTCATCTATTGATCTGGTAATAGGCGATCGTCCTTGTAGCAATTCATCTCAAAGACCTTGTCGTTAGTGCCAAGGCAATTACGCAACAATTAATGTATTGACTACTGAGAAATAACATTTTTTAAATATCACTTTTTTGTTCAAACTAACCTTGTGTTGTGGAGTAATTTCGGATATGTGATGGAGTTAATTCGGACATAACGAAAAGTGAGCATTTTTTGCAAAAATACATTTATATATCAAATAAAAATAAGTTTAATGCTATTTGTTTAATTGTTTCTTTTAACGTCTTTTTCTTTTGGGAGGTTTAGCTTGCATTTTATATATCTCATTTTTTTCTTTTACTTTCTGATCGCGAGGGGGTAACAACTAGTAGTTGAGATATCTGTCCCACGGATTACACGATTTCGAACATTTCACTTGGTAAAATAAACAATTTTATCTAACGTTATGCAATGATTTTTCGTGGTTTCACATATAATTATCGGATTATAGAAATTTCATATAAATTTTATAATGATTTCAGGGACTCTGTCCCACGATTACATTAAGTGATTACCTCTTCGTATGATCACTTTCGTGCGTGGCACAAAGCATAAATAATTATCACATTTTATTAAAATATTTAACTCTCATTTTTTCACCCGCGTCCAAATTTAACCTCTCCTTCCCCTATTTGTTAAAATGATTGATAATATTACTTTTTATATAAAAACATAAATGTAAGTCAAGTAATTATATTTACTAATTTGCTGATGTATTTCTCTTTAGAGCATATTACACACAGATTGCATTATATCTAAATAATATAAATCGTCGCAGCATGTATAACGCGTTTTTGTTTAACGAGCTTACAAATGAAACCTTGCAAAATGTCCCATGGCCGTGAGAGAACAAAAAGTTCTTTCCCGCTCCGCTCCTATTCTCTCTCGCCCAATCCCCCAGGCTTGCCTTGGTTGCGCGCGAGTCCTGCGGCCAACATCTGTTCCCGTTACCCTCTGTCGTTAATTGTCATTACACGTGCGACATGGTGCACGTTACGCCTAGTGACGGCCATTAAACTTCCCCATTACATTATTGCCGATCGATGGCGGCGACGGTTCCTTCGTGGTTTTTTCTCCGTCGACGAGAGCACTTTTAACTGTGGGAGCCTACCTAGGAGCGACGATTTCTCGGTGCTAAAAGCATGATTTACACGCCACGCTGCCGGATTAAAAATGTAGCCTGAGATTAAGCGGTTACGTAAACTCCCCATGGCTCTCTCTTGCTGAAGCGCTGCGTCATCGCTACTAACCGGAAAACCGCTGAGTGCATAGTGGTGTACAAATTTGGGCATTACTGGGCATTACTTAAAAGTATTGCATTACGCAATAATAAGCGGTTATGCATTATTAATGAGCATTACCAGGGCATTACTCATAGAACATTATTGGGCATAAAAATTGGGCATTACTGGGCATTAGTATATATAGGCATTGATGAACACAATTTTGGTCAACGGTTTACCTTTCGTTGCTAACGCTGTCACAGAAATAAGTGACGGACTGCTGGCAGATGCTTTCACGTATACACGATGTCCGTTTAACTAAACGCAAGCGTTTATTTTTGGTAGCATCTTTGGCGGAGTACGTGTCTTTAGAACGGTGTCTTTCCCTCTGGATTATTATTTCTTGTATTGCCGGTTTTATATCCACCGATCGTCTGACGAAGTAACGTAGTGTAAACATACAATACTATATTTTATATTATAATGAATGGAGATAACGTCAAATTAGATATCTTATAAGTTAGCGGGACAAAGTAAGCATGAAGCTTTAAAAATTTAGAAGCACAATTTAATATATTAATTTAATTTTCCTAATCTATTTAATTAATTTAATTCTGTAACAGTTTTTTAAATTCACTTCCTCTTTGTGCATTACAGAACGATCTATTTGTGGAGCAGACATGGAACCTATCACAACGATTGTGTGGCACAGTTAAGGTAAAAGATCTTTATGTTTCATATAAAAGTATTATGCTTTTCGATTGATATAACTAATTAATAAGTGGAAAAATGACAACACAGATAAATTCTTTGCAATAAATGTAATAAAATACAGCGAAAAATTATAACTATTGAAAGAATTTCGTCAAAAATGTCAAAATATATTGATAGAACTAAATAATTTCAATGGATGATATCTTCAAATATGATGACATTACAATTCACATAGAATGAATTCACTGAAAGGGTTAAATGATAGCATTTTAACATAATGTTAGCACAACGTAGTACAAACTAGCACAATTAAAAAAAAATTGAAAAATACGCAAAATGATAGGCTGACCTAAAAATAGTAAAATATTCATTGGGAATTGGGAGAAATATTGTTCAGAGTTCGAACCCTCTCTACATTTTGTGACGTACGTTCTTACCAATTTAACCACTGAGGCATGTATTTATCACAATAACCAGTACATGTTAGAAGTAATCTTTTTCAGGCGACGTAAATAAACCAAAATAATATGTAGTAAGTGAAAAATCGATATGTATAATAATAAAAATAAACGAAGAAGTGACGGATTTAATTCGATCTAATGTCGATCTTTATATCTAATAGTATTTTTGCATAAATTTTTACAATATTTACAATTTTTATAGTAATTAATTAATAGTGTATTTGCAACTATTTTTTCGTATGACTTCTTCAACTTTTTTTTAACGTGATAATGTTAGATAAAGTTGTCTGCCCGTTTAAATGTCAACAAGAGGCGAGCTAGGTAAAGTGGCACCTACGTGCGTTACAATTCACGCGAACGCGTTAATTGCGGGTCATTGGGTCAAACTAATGACCGGTTCACACGTTTCCACCTGTGCACCATATTGCGCTTTGAGAACCGATTTCTCAATGCGCTCTAGTTACAGAGTCAGTGAGTAACGATGTTGTGAGCGTTGGTTATTATTAGTTTTGAACTTGGCGAAGTTAAGAAAAGAAATTTAATATTATATTATAATGAAAAAGTACGTGGAAAATGTAATCGAGCTCATAAATATCGAAAATTATAATAACGGGGGGTCTGAGAGGTAAACCGCTGACCAAAATTTACTCACGTCTGTCTAGCTGCCCCTCCCCCTCCACTTAACCAAATCTTAATGAATTAATTATATAGTAATACATTATTAATGCTCTTTCCAGATCCGCAAGCAAAAATTTTTGCGCTTATTCCGTTTAGCTAAAAAAAATTTTTTGTGAGGGAAATGAGTAAGCAATCAGTCAGCCTCCCTAACTTGTTAAAAACAATTGATTTAAAAAAATTGAATACACAGGATTTAATTTTAACCGACATAGGGATGAATGCGGCTATGAATTCCCTCCAAGAGGGAAGTACCTTAAGAGATAGCGCATAAATCCTATGTATTCAATTTTCCAAATCGATTGTTTTTATCAGGTGAGAGGAGAGGGCTGACTGACTGCCTACTCGGTCCCTTCCCCACAAAGATTTTTAGCTAAAACGGAATGAACACAAAATTTTTTGCACTGATCTAATATTATACAATAACTATAATTATTTCTAATCGATCATTTTGGATCATTTCAAATGACAAGAAACGGAGCTTATCATAGTTAAAGCCATAAGACGAAAACTCAAAATATGTTTATATTTTGAACAGCTTTTCATGAAAATAGTGGCAGTATTATGTGCAGCTTGTTACATAGATATTAAAAATATCTTCTAGTATTCTCCGCAAATTGACGAGGGACAAATCGAAGACATTATCATTTGGCAAAACTATCTGCGATCAAAATGAGTTATTAGTTTTCTCATACGCAGCATCGGCAATATCAATACCAAGAAAGTTGGAACATCTCCAAAATTCTGCCGCTCTGTCATCTGACTTTGCGACGGTTGTATTATCGGCGAGCTCGTAAATGTGAGATGAAACCGTGGAATGTTTTGCAATCTCGGGAAAGAAGAAAATCGAGACTATGTGAAAATGGAAGCATAATTTCGTATACATAAGTATATAAAAAATTATGTTATAAAGCTATAAGTGTTTATTATTCGTACGAACTTTGAAACGCGGATAATGAAAGTTACTTTATATATTTCGCGAATCGGGGTAAAAAGAAATATTACAAGCTTTTGATAGTGCCGTTACTTGCGCGCGATGACGAATCTAAGTATTCAAACTGCCAACAAGATGAAAGCTTAAAGCACTAGTGTTTGAATAGAGCACAAGAGGATTGCAAATGCAGCCTCCTCGTCGGAATGTTTTCTACACGGCTCACGTTGGTACGTGAGCTACGGCTTTCGTAGTTCAACCAACAACGCCTGATAATATCGTACATAGACGGAATAATAGACGGACGTTCAAAAGAAGCAAATGTTCTTAATGAGAACGCTGCGCACGGTCACCGTATGTGTTCTGTGCGCAATGAAAGTACTGCATTCGCGAGAACTTAGTGAATGGAAACATACAGCTTTTTATCCACGCAATCGTACGCGAGAACGGCTTATAAAACGCACTTGCTAAAACGAAAGGATCATAAGATAAATCCTCCTAATTCTTCAATAACTATACACATCAGTTGCGGAGTGTATTTCTGGCTTCGCTTCAAATTACGAACCGCGATTGTGATCCTTAAAACAATTTTACTGACAAGTGCGACATTAATGGACATCAGTCTGAATATTTTTCGTCAGTTTTTTTTTAAGTAGAATTAGACACAAAGATCTCGTAAATTTATATTAAATTAGGAAATTATGGTGAAAACAGTGCCATCAGAGATTAAATTTTTATCGATTGAATAATTAATTAACGTCGCGAAGAGAACCGTAGCAAAACAGCGCGATGTCGATGTTACGTCGCCGTGCGATGCACGTCTACGAAGCTCGCGCCACGTGCGAGCCAGCTTCGAGTAACAGCCAAGCGAAAGAAGATGTGGGAACATTATGTCCTCTATTCCGCGCTCGCGCAACGTTCTGTATTATGATGCTCCTCGGGGGATAAACGTTAAATCCTGCCCCGCCCCCCGCTTCACATCCTCTTCTTCATAATTCTCGGAAAGATGCTTGTTCCCGGGAGTTTACGGTGCACCTATAAATTCCCGAGCGAGCTTTAACGAACGAGGCCGGCACGCGTTAAGACGAGAAAGAGCCAGGGCTTAACGTTGGACCGCTGCCGGCCTTCCAGTTTAAGCGCGCTGCGTATATTCAGCCGTTTCTCGAAAGGATTTAGCCTTGAACTGGATCATCGAGGTCATCGCGCAGGACTTTCATCGAACGTTCCGTGCGTAGACACGAGCGGAATTGCAAATTGCGGTGTGCCTGCGTGTTATTGGCGTTAGAAATGTGACATATGTATTTTACCGCAGACTATTAGAGCGTTTGAGTAATGGGAGCATTCTCGGAACGGCGCCTTGTGTCAATCAGTGATTAATTATTACGCACACCGAAAAAAAGGGATTAGCAATAAAAGCTAACATACAGGATGTCCGGAATATAAATGTCAAACTAAGAAAAAAACGTTTTGTAGGGAAATGCTCGTTCTCGCTTTATTTCGGAGAAAATTGCAAAAAGGATAAAACGTAGATTTTGTTTTTGTATCTCTTATTACTTATTCATGTTGTATTTATTCACTTGCTTAATGTAGATATTGTTTAAAAATTAATACGGACTGCTCGTATTGCAACCAAATACTGATCTGGCGATACATACTTAGTGCACTGCAGCTTCGATTCGATTTCTCAATTGTTCTCTTGAGTTGATTGATATTGGCTGTGTTTAGCGGAAAGTAGCCTTTTGTAACTGTTGTAACATTTTTCAATACGATTGGTTCCTTATGGATCTAAAATGTATAAACCAATCGTATTGAAGAATTTTACAACAGTTGCAAAGCTGCTTTTTCTGCTGAACGCAGCCAATGTGTGTGAAGCTGGCGTATTATTTCGTGGAAACTCATTTAATATATTGAGCTTAACTCTCAATATCTTATCCGTACAATAAGTACCATAAATCTCACTATCGGAAATCGGCCAGCGTTTCACACATTTCCTGAAAAGTTAATTTTTGTAGAAAAATATCATAAAAAATTGAAAAAATAACATTATTTATCGCCAGAACTCTTCCTAAAAATCATTTAGAACTATGTATTTTAAAATCCTACAAAAATCTGTGGTTAAAATTTCCGGAGGACAAAGTGAGACGCTGCGTGAATCTGGTGTCTCGGTTTGTTTTTTCGCTTTTTTTCGCTTAAATCAGCTGTGTTTTTGATTTTGGTTCTCACGCACCGCAAACTGCATTCTATTATAGTTTCTTTTTTCGAGTAATGAATAATAAAGATAGAATAAAACTTACTTGAGCGCAGAAATTAAAAGTAGTCTTGATAATTAGACTATTTGTCATGCATTTATAATTATAAAAGTAATAGAAAATAGACATCTAAATATTTCCTGTGCTTTTCACACATTGAATTTATTTTATATATGCAAGTGCTGAATGTGTGGAATAAGGTGATTAGAGTGTTGGTGAATTAATTACAGATATAAACCAATTTCTGTTAAATAATGTAAATTATTTATAGCCAGGTTCGTAGGTTGAGATAAATCTATATAATAATGTGCACAATTTCAATAATTTTGCTTAATACGTGTAATATGAATGAAATAGTTCAAATAGCCGAGTGAACAGATCATGAAATAGTTTGATAATTTATTAAATCATGTTGTTAATAAGTCATTTTAGCATTTATAACAATGTCTGGACATTATGTTGCTTAGAAAATTAAATTAAACGATGTGGAAATTTTAATTTTTTAATAAAAAGAATAGAAAATATTTGTTAAGAAAGTGTAGCATTTACAGCTTTGATTATCGTTGCTCTACTGTGGAAATAAAATTAGTAAAGTTTTGCTAATCTAATTACGTATTACACTTTTTTGAACTTATGACAAAGAGAAATAAGTGTAATCCCGTTGTACAAATAAATATTATTAATAAC